AACTAGCAGCAGGTTCATCTAAATGGAAGGCAGCTAAATTTAAACGATCTGGTAAGGGAACCTGGTAGAAGGTGAAATATCGTTCCGCAGCCACGATCCAAGTAGTTGGATCACCTGACGAAAAACGAGGAAAATCAAGCTTGACTTGGCGCGCTCTGGAATTATCATTACCATGCGGACCAGAACCCAAAATTCCGCGTCCCGGAGAATTTTGTTGCAACTCCAGAAGACGAGCCAGATCTACATGTAAACGGTTCTGAGATTCCTGTAAGTGGAGATAGGACTCCTGTAACTGAGAGTTGGATTCTTGCAAACCCAAATACTGTTGTGCACGAACAGTCTCTGCAGCTCGGAATTGTTCATCCAAAGTTTCAAAACGCTGTGACAGATCCCTTAAACGCGTGTTTTCAGCCATAGCAGGTAGGTTGAGGAGCAATGAAAACACCAATGAAGGGGTTTAGTTCAGATCTGAAAGATAGAGAAGGAGAGATTCAAAGGTGAATAACCGTTTAGAGAGAAGTAAGGAGGAAGAGAGAGAATTGTCCAATCTTTTCTGTCTATTCTGTTACGCCCCCAGGGCTATTTAATATAGTTTTTCTTACAATGCTTTTCTATTACACTGTTTAACTACTCAACTCATATCTATTTCTAGACAATGGGCCTTACAAGTATTTAAACACTATGGGCCTTACAAGTATCCTTACAAGTATTTAAAGACAATGGGTACAAGTATTTAAAGACAATAGTCCTTTAGGTACACAGGCTTTCTTCTATTGCGATTGGGCTTGCCTTGATTGGGCTCACCCACTTGGGTCACAACAGACTGAAGTGGGGACTGTATTTTTTATTAAGGATCCAAAAGAAACTTTACTCGTTATAATATCACATGGCATGGGAATTGCTGTCAAAATTACTCAATATCATTCATAATGAAGATGAATAATTTTAGGATTTTACCTTTCATGACATAATTTGTCTGAATAGTAGTCATTTAGAATCATTCATGATATTTTTCCAAAAAAAATATATGATATTATTATTTTAGGAAATTTAAGTTGTATAAATATTTAAATTAATATTTATGTAATTATTTGAATCTATTTAATGAAATTAATTTTTAAGGCCAAATGTTAAAAAATATATATGAGAGAAGTAACTTATCATATTCTTTTTTTGGAATGAAAAAATTAAGATAATGACACATGATATAAGACTCCAAGACATGAACATTACGTATTTTTCTCACAAATTTAAGTTAACTCAATAACTCTACATATATACTAAAGGAAAATTGTTTATCATTTTAAATGACACAACTTATATCCTTTCACTTTCACAAAGTTGTGGGACTCACATTTTTATTTTTTTTTGTCAACTCTCTCTCCTCCTTTATCTATCTTTTTCTCTCTATTAAAATGACACAGCTTCACATTATTTAAAATGACACACACTTTTCCCATATACTAATCATTAACATGAGTTGATTTCTTATTTTATATAAAAGTTATCCATTATTTATCATTCCCAATGCCATTCGTGAAAGTGTAAAATCATAATCACGTCATTAATTTCATGGTTTAATGTTCTTGTTAGAGGGGATAAATTTATCTCTGACACACATAAAAGTATATGTAGCTCATATTTTTCTCTCTCTCTTTTTTCTTCACATGACCTTATATGGACCCAGGGGCAGAGCTAGGGGGAGGCTAGCATGGGCGGCCGCCTCCCCTCCCCACTAAAAAAAAAGAAAAAAAATAATTTAATGTTGTTGAAGGCTAGATGTGGTACTGTTGTTACTGTTAAATGTGCTTCTTCTGAAAGTTCTGATTTGAGACCCAAGTTGAAATCTACCTCCACTTCACCTAATGTGTGTGTTATGTGTACCTTTTTTGCGGTACCCTTTTTTGCATTTTCCTTTTTATTTTCATTTGCTATGTTTTGGTTAATAAAAACTTTGCTTTTTTGCTTTGCTCTCTTTTCACTTGTATGATTGTGTTTCTCTTTGTGTAGTGATTTCGTACAGAGAAAATGAGTTTGCTCTAACTTAAAAAATTCATTTTTTGGGGCAACTTGATTGCAGTCTTTTTATTTTTAATAAAATATAATTAAAAGCATTGTTTTAGTTAATGTTAACGTGAATGAAGGCATTTTTTTTAATTATTGTTTTAAACTACTTTTTATGTCTATTGTATCCGACCAATAGTATATTTTTCAGTCTTTGAAATGTTATTAAATGTTGTAAAGAACCAATTCAACCAAAAAGCTTAAGCTGTTGGGTGAGACTATATATCTCAACAAATGTTAATATTTTGGTAAGAAATTACCAAAATGAGTTCCATAAAAGTGTGAGGTCAATAGGTAGAGAAAATATTGATATTATGTATGACAAAAATTTAATTTTCGTCCCCTTCCCCTCCTATATTAGCTCCGCCACTGCATGGACCCTGTATAATTTTATATATGTGTAGAAGATAATTTTATCTCGTATAATATCAAACCCTTAATTTAAATGATTTATTCGACTGTGAAAAGATGACTGCAACATTAGAATTATCATCATTTTTTTTTTCTTGTACATATGAAAATTATTATATTCAAATTACTTTTTTTGTCACATCGTAGAAATTACTACATTCCCTTTTTTATTTTACAATACTTATACCAACTTTTTCCTTCGAGTTAAACAGTTGGTAGAATGGAATCAAATTATTATTGTTACCGAATGTTTAAAAAACAAGGCAAGTTTTGCCTTAGCAATTAGTATCATGTCTGTAATCTACAAGTAGCAGTACATATGGCGCTATCAACATTTATTAAGTTTCACTAATCATCTGGTTATTTTAGCGAAATTGAAGACAAGGCCAAAAAAACCATGTTAATGGGGGACAGTTATTTAAGCATTAGCTAGCAAACTGCTAAACATGTGAAGTTTATTGGGACCCGCGGTCAAATCAAGCATAAATGGTTATACTAATTATAGATCGGGGACCAAATCAAATTATCTCTTCACATTAATTACGTTTTTAATTATTGTTAACCAACGGTTCAATAGCTTTTGTCTCATTGCAGGACTAGGTGCAGCGGCAATGTCAATGCCCTAATCTGACTAATTAGTGCACATGAATATCGTTAAACAAGTCATTTTAATTATTCCAAGTCACATGACAACATCAAAATGTTATAAACAAAGCAAGTGGTTAAGCGATTCAAACTCATCACTAATTTGGCAAAGTTCACTGTTCATTGATTGTAAATTTCCTTCTTGAAATTAAAGCAAAAGTAAAGGGATGGAAGATGTTAAAGAAAGGGGTGAAACTAGTAGAATATTCAACTCGTTGAAGAGGAAGCAAAAGGAGAAATTGTAGAAATGAGGAAGATGAGAGATCGGTGTCAATGTGACTGGCAGCTAGGATAGCCCTATTAGGCTGATTCTATAACTCCATTCGATTTGGTGGGTCTTTCAATCTTTTACGCGTCCTCTCGCACAAGGTGACTACACATTGATGTAATGAATGATGTTGCTGTTCAAGCCATTAGAAAAATTCATAATAATTTCTCATGAATTTGAAGAAACATAATACCAAATACAGCAGTTTAAGCAAGCTACATTTCATAGAGGAGAAGCATCTTGTATTACGTCACAATATTAGTTTAGCCATATTTAGTTTTTGATAATCAAGGGCAATAAATTTGGTTCGATAATTTTATATTAAAAATTACTGCTAGTGATGTAACTTGATTACTCATCATTTCAATCGACCATCTCAATATTTGGCTTTTGGGAAAAACCATTTTGTTGTAGGGAAAAACTATTCTCATGTCACATGAGATAAGTTTTCTCTCCTACACACCCTTCGATAACTGTGTCATCTTTTTTTTTTTTCAAGTGGTAGAGCCCATTAATTTGTCTCTATGACATGAGATAACTATCTCATGTAACATAAGATTAATAAAATCTTTTGTTGTATTCTATTGAGAGAAATGTCTAATCACGAATTAGTGGATTGATTTTGGATTTAACGGTCTCAGATATTTAGGAAAGAGATATCTTTAAGGGGTAAATAAATCACTGTTCACAAAAGAGATACGACATAGTTAAGGAGATGATGTGTGTGCACAGTAACAATAAGTATTGAGAGAGAGTAAATGTTATACACTTATACCTATATTTTTCTTCTTATTTATAGAGTTTATTTGTGGAGTTGTGGGTAGTGAAATTATAGACCTTTAGTGATCTTTTTAGGAACCCAATGTTTGGTCTATACTTGTCGTACTAAGATTAATATCATTTGAGGTTTCTTTCTTTCATTTCCTTCAATCTCCTCTTTCTATTGTTTTTCTTGAATCTTCTAGAATATGAACCTCTATAATCGGAAGCACGAAAAATAGAGCATTTTTTATCACAACCGTTTTTTGTAGCAGAAGTGTTTACAGGTTCGCTAGAAAAATAGTTGGTCTAGCATAAACAATTAGAGGATTTAAATTGATTCTTTCTTGAGCCCATAACATATTTTAAAAATTCTCTTGAAAGGTTGATGTCCATAATATATAAACTACAGATATAGATGCAATCATGTGATAGTTACATTAATGCAGCCAAGATGGAGACCGAGACGAAAGTCGTCAGGGGTTGTTCAAGACTCTTAATGGGCTTAGCGGTCAAGCTTCATTAAATTGATTAGGCTTGTGCATGTAACCATCCAAGATATTGGGCTAGGCTTTCCAAGTGTATTACTGGGACAAAGGGACTAAAATAACGTTAAAAATTGATGTACTCAGTTTTAAATAAGCAAGTGCAACAAAAATTATAAGAAAAGTAAATACCAATGGCAGAATCGTGAATACCACTGACTCAAGTTTCACCAATCACAATATAGATATTAAAGGTTATGAGGATTGAACCAAAAAAATAAGAAATTATATAACCGAAAAAGGCAAGAGACCACAGCAGCCAGTAGCTGAAGCAAATGGAAAATTCTCTTCCATTTCACTCCTAATTGCTTCAAATTACAGTGAAGACTCAAAAGCAACCCGACCACCAAAAAGGTTACTGTGTCCAGATTTAGATTGGCAAAAATAGTGAGCTAAGGAGAGTCACAAAAAAGAGACAAGCGGGGCACTTTTATTGGGAAAGTTGCCAAAGTATCCTCTTTGTCTATGTCTCTTTTAGTCAATATCAAACAAAATTTAGTACAAGCCGGAATTCAGTACCTAAGATATCTGAATTTCTTAAATCAATCAAATAGAAATTAAAATATATTGGACTAAATAAAGGAGAGTCACTATTGCAATTGCAGATTGGGAAGATGGCCATCCATGTTCAAGCCCAATCCTTCCTAATGTCAAAAGTATAGTTGATCTCCAAGTAGCATTTGTTGTCATCATCAAGAAACTGAAAAAGGAAAAACAATATAGTATATGGTTGTATCATTAGTGACATTATTATGCAACAATAAAAGGAAACATGAATGTTACTCTCAGCTACCAGTTTACGTAAAACAGTAAAGCTCCACTTCAGATTTTATAACTCAGTGACTGGAAAATTAAGTAATAAACTGGAAAATTAAGTGATAAACTGGAAAAATAAATTGAAAAGGACAAACAGTGATTGCTTTAGCAGCCATCTAAATAGGAAAAATTCATCCAAATATGGAAGTACATGCACACACACATATTCGGAAAAATGTGTGTATTTTTAAAGGACACAAACTTAGGTCCTTTTATAAGAGAAAGATAGACACAAAAAAGTGTGAGTCCCACAAAAAAATAAAGACAAAAAATAAAATAAAAGTGTGGGTCTTACCTCTTTGTATCTATCTCTCACTTTATAAAATGACCTAAGTTTGTGTGTTATAAAAGGAGACACACTTTCTCCATTTACATTTGTACAATCAATTATTAATGTACGTGGTAATATATATTACCTTTGATCTTGCAGAATATTGTCCTCTTGCAAATAGCCCTGAGGGTGTGGTTTCTTCTGGCATCTCATGTGTGTAAGGCTCTGTCTGAGGGCTGAAAGTTCCAAGCATCTCTTTTGAGCTGTCCACTGAAAATGAGACTTGTTGTGAGAGAATGGTGCATATTAGGAATGTGGACATTAATTAGGCATAACAAACTTACCCTTGACACCAGTCTTCCAGACAGTATTGGTGTACTTCAAGCCAGACACAATATTATTGCTCACTTCGAATGTGAATTTCAATCGGTAATGACTACCTTCTTTAAGAGTGAACCATAAACCCTTTGGATTTCCACTTTCAGGAATAGGAAGAACAATTTCATCCCTACCAGGAGAGACGATAGACAGACTGGTAATTTTCACTTCAGGATCCAGAATTTCTGGAAAGAAACATTAACATAAGTTAATTGATATATACAAGGACAAAATAAGAGAACATACAATAAGTATATTACGTGTATCCACTTCATCTATAAAATAATGGAAAAATTATATTTACAAACTACACTATATTTTACTGATAAGACACTCTTAAGTAAAGTCTTATTGGTAAGACATAATATAATTTGTAAGTTTATAAAAAAAAAGTTTGTCAATATAATTCACGCGTAAAATAAATCTTCCCAACTATTGTTAAAAAGGTTTTGAAGTTTAATGGATTGATTACATTGAAATTATTATGATTCCTCAATGTTAATTACAGAATAGGAAAAAGCCAATTTGCATGGTTCCTCATATTTATCCTCCACTAGTTGCACCAGTCATGAACACCGTTGTAATATAGAAGCAGAAGGACAATAGAAGCCTTATATTTTTTATAAATTAAAAAAAAGTTAATGCAAATTCAAATATTACAAGTAGCTTGTATGGGATCAATACAATTAAGAGATATACACCTGCAACGTTGTTCACATCCACATTCCCAAGAAGTTGTTCCTTCCATTTCCTTAAACTCTCATCGTCCTATGATCCCAGAATCCAACAAAGAAAAACAAAGAAAGAGAATTAATATGGAAGAAAGTAAGAGCATGTTAGCAAAAAAAGGTTAATTAATAATTCCATGCAGTGAAGAATAATTTCAATCCAAATGTTTAAACTATGATCATCACATTAATTATTTTATATTAATATTTTTTTTTTTTTGGAGTTACCCAACCCTAATTACCTCTTTGAGGCGAGTTGACTCCCTCCGGTATCCCCACGAGCTTCGACTCTTTGAGCCGGCTATGGGACTAATCCGGAGTGCGGGGGAGCAGTGATGACTAAAGGTTCAGCCCCCTCCCCAAGAATGCATTCAGCAGGAATCGAACACATGTCCAACCCCACTAACTCAGCGCCAAATTACCAACTGAGCTGCACCCATTGGGTTATATATTAATATCTCTAACACATAGTATTTGCACAAATCTTAGCTTAAGTTAATAAATAATAATTACTTTAATAATTTTATAGTAATATCTTTAATAGATGAATATGGCCACAAACCTTATCTTTCTCAAGGTGCTCTTTAAGAGTGCACTGAGGACCCAGTTGTATTTTGGCTCCAACGTCATCATCTTCCTCCACATCAGTTGCATAGATAGAAGACTCACTCACTTGCCTGCTCAAAGGCTCGCCATCACTTTTATAATCTTCCCCTGCCTCACTTTTCTCTCCAGTTTCTTTGTTTTCATAAAACCCCATCTTCTTGGAACTTGAAACAGCTCCAACTACAAAGGTGGTTTAACTCATCAACAGTCACAGGGAATAACAATGGTGTCCAAACGCACCCAAAGAGAGAAACCACAAGAAATATATGGCATGCAATGAAAATTATGTAAGGCAATTGACTATATTACTAAAATCTTTTGAAGGGATTGTTGAAACCCAAAAAAGCAATAGCAGTTTGTGTCTCACAAAACAAAACCCAATAATGATGAATAGCCAGAAGCAAAAAAAGGCAAAAGATGACAAAGGAAAAATGATTTGTGTGTCTCCTAACGTTTTTGTGTGGTGTGGGTTGCTCAATATTTCAGGAGGAGAGAGAGAAATATGGATAAATTGGGGAAGTAGTCATGCGGTGATCCGAAATGTTTGTCAGGTTAGAAAGAATGTTAAGGTTACCAACACACTAATATTGACTCAGGTGAGGTCACAAGGAACGATCTCTTTAACTTTCATTTTAGTTTTGAAGAAACATTAAGATACTTACAAAAAAATCATTTTAATTTTCATATGGGATACTTTTTTTTTTGCCTATCTTTTTCTACTACCTCTCTAACATCGTTAAATCAGAATTTCAACTAACTTTTATTTTTTTTTCTTCTCTTGATATTCTGATCTAACGGTGTTGGAGAGTTGTAGACAAAAAAAAATTAGGTAGAATAATCTATCCCTTTTATATATATACATAATAGCTTATAATAATAATACTTGAAAAATTTCTCTTAAACGGTGTATTTGATTATGATTTTAAAAGATTATTTTGAGATAAAAAATCTTATAGATTTTAAAAGATTATATAAAATTGTAGTGACTTTAAAGACTTTTTTTTTTACAATTAAGATTTTATAAGATTGAATTTTAAAGGAATTTAATATAATTTATAAGATTTGAAAGGACAATACGAATTTATAAGATTTTAAAAATCATATATTTTTAACAAATATTCAAAATTACAAGAGTTAATAAAAAGATAACAAAGAAATACAATGATATTAATAAAAAAAAGTAAAACATAATGTAATTTTCTCAATCAGTAATTTGATATAACTCCACATATCTATACTAGCCCTCCACATATTAGCATCTTCTCGTTCCTATCTTTGATTTATCAATGAGTTGAAAATTATCTTATTCATTTGGTATCAGAGCTATGCATATATGATTAAAATAATTTGAAATTTTATCACCCTAATTTTACCAAGAACTTTCATTTTCTATGCATTAGCTATCAGAAAAAAGTTTATTTATTAAAATAATTCGAAATTTGCATATACAATCTAAGTTCATGATAAATTTTTTTTGCTATTGATCAGGTTTTATTATATTAAAGTTTAAAAAATTTCTCAAATTATTTTCAAACGATACTTTGAAACCTTAAATATCTTTGGAGTCTTTGAAAAAAAAATAGTAATCTTTGACACAAATTTTTTTTGAAATTATTTTTTATATCGAAGAAATTTCGTTTACGAATGTATTGTTATAAAACATAGGGTTCATATTATAAAATTTTCAATCTTTCTTTCAATAGATCTCATTTCATTGATGTAAAACAAAAATTGGTTTGGGGGATTTTTATTCCCCTGTTATTTTTTCACTGTTTTATGTTGCTTTTAATACAAAAATCACACCTTTTTATGCCAAGAAAAAATTGCAACCCATAACTTTAAAAACCATTTTTTAAACTTCAAGTTCTAAAAAAATCACTTAAAAATATGCTATTTTTGAGATGGATTAGATTAGAACCTTGTTGAGTTGTTTTGTGATGAAAATCGCTCAAAAATCTGCTATTTTTTTTAGCTTTGACGAAGCTCCCGTAGCGGAATCCGATTTTGAGCGAGTCGACCCACCAAAGGAAAAAGAAGCACTGCAATAGAGAATTCTCAAGAAATCATAGAGGTTAACATGAGATTGTGAGAGAGGCATTCTATTTATACTTCTCACTAAAAAGTCTCACGAAATCCATACCAAAAGAAAATTCATTAAAATCGTTAGATTTTGAATACCACAATATTACTTTTTCTTTGTTTAAAATATTGATTGAATACCACCAGATTTGGAAGGACTCTAAAATAATTTTTTAAAATCCTAATCGGATATCACATGACTTTTTTTATTCTTCTAAAATCCTAATTGAAGGCCAATAGATTTTTTGTCCAAAAATAAACCATTAAAATCCTTTGAAATTTCAATCTAATACACCTCTTAGTTTTCGTATTTTTTGGAATCTCTTTGTCCTGGCTCAGATTTTGGCATCGATATTAAAATTTTAAAACAATTTTTGTTATTATTTTCATTAAATGTGTTTTATATCATTGTTGTAGTATTGACAGCATTACTAAAGAAAGATATAGTGATTATAAAATTAAAAATAAAACTAAAGTTATACCAAAATAATAAATAAAATAAAACTAAAGCTTATACCAAAAAAATAAAAAAATAAAACTAAAGCACATTTCAAATAACTAAGATGATGCAAAACAAAAGAGATTTTTTTTTCTTGTATAATATAAATCAGGATTAGTATTTTTTTTATTTTTTTTTGGTACATGGATTAGTATTTTTTTTATTAACCACATCAATCACTCCATATAAAATTAATATTCAATATTATTTAGACTTTTCTCCTTTTCTCTATCAATGCCTAAGAGCTTTTTTGGATGAGCTTTTTTAAAAAAATAACTTTTTATGCATTGTTTTTTTTTAAATAACTTTTTAAAAAGGTAAAGTTATTTTACATTTGGATGTATGATCTGAAAATTACTTTTACATCAAAAAATTGTTTGGATGTTAAAATAAAAAAAAACACTTTCGAGATAAAATAGCATGATCATGAGATAAGGAGAGATAAAATAGGTATGATAGGATAAGGTTAAAATTGTATTTTAAAAATTTATATTTTTTTTTTTCAAAAAAAAATTTATGTTATCTTTTAATTTCTGTTTTTTTCAAAAGCAACTAACTACTGGCTATAAAAAAACAGTATTTTAACTTTTATTTTAAATTTTACTTTTTAAAAAGCTGTTATCCAAACATTTAAAAATTCTCAAAAAGACTTTTTTTTTTAAAAAAAAACAATTTTTTTAAGAATAAAAGCTCATCCAAATGGACACTAAATCCCTATAATTTTAACATCCATTATAATTATTTTTGTCAAAATACTCAAATTAATAAAATAACTAATTCCTCAATTTTCTCCTATACACACATGACTTATATATAATATCTTCCATAGCACTTTTCTGAAGTTTTACCAAAAAATCACAAAATCTCTTCAACGAATGTATTTATCCCGTTTAGAAGACAAATCTCAGTGCATTTCTATAAGATTTGTGTTATAAGTGAAAAGTATCATATATATATGGAGTATCAAATAATAATTTCAACGTGGTTTAATTAGATTAATCGGATAATCGATGTGCTGATAGATATATAAAAAAAACTTAGAGATAATTGATTATAGATTTTGAAAGTTTGTGTATATTAGATATAAATAGATCATAAAAAAAAAATTAACAAATGAAAATGTCTATTCTATAGAAATATCTTTGGTACTTCCATGCATCTTTTACTAAATATGAAAAAAAGTTTATACCCGACTTTTCCTATTTTACCCATTTTTTATGATTATTCTCATCTAAGTTTTATATTTTCCTATTTTTAATAAATAAGTACATACTCCCTAATGTTGTACCTATTTAGTAGAAAATTTAAAGCATTTACTTAACTTTGATGGTTTCAAATATAATTTTTTTATCAGATATGATTAACTTATATCGGTGTAAAAATAATATATCTTACACTCAATTTTAGCCATTGACTTTCATGCATCAAACAGCTTATACCGGTGTAAGAATAATGTATCTTACACTCAATTTTAGCCATTGACTTTCATGCATCAAACAGCTATAATTGATTTGATTACTTTTATTAATTAATTATTAATTCTTAATAAATTACTACAGTCATATATAGGGTTGGCAAAAACGAGCTAACCCAACGGGTTGGCTCGTAACCCGCAAAAAATGAGCTGGGTTGGGTTGGCAAAAATGAGCTGCCAACCCGAGCCAACTTGGCTCGTTTTAACCAGTGAAAAAACGAGCCAACTCGCGGGTCAAACGAGCCAGCTCGCGAGTTGAGTTTTTTTTTTAATAAAAAATACAAAATATAATATAGAAAAATAGACAAAACCCACACATGTTGTCATCATTTTTCTTCCTTATCTAAACCTAAGTCCCTAATCTTCTCACATCCCTATCATTTTTATATTGTTAGGCTGTGCTGGCTCTGTTTGGTTCAAATATCTTATCCACTTGGTAGCAAGTGGTTCTGATTGTTTCTGGATGTTGATGCAAATTTGTCATGAAGAAAATTCGAAACTAAAATATTTTTCTTTTATTTCTCATTTTGTAACCCTTTTTTAAGCTAATGGAAGCCACATAGCTGGTGCATTAATACTACAGGATCATTTAAATAGCTAAAAACGAGCCAACCCGAGAGCCAATTTTCGAGCGAAACCGCAAGCCTATTTTCGAACCAACTCGCGAGCTATTTTTTCAAGCCAACCCACGAGCCAGATTTTTGAGCCAACCCTAACCCGACTCGGGTCAGGTTGGGTTGAGTTTTCTGGCTCGTTTTTTTTTTCGAGCCAACCCTAACCTGACTCGTTTTTTTCGGGTTGAAAGTGAGTTGGGTCGGGCTGGGTTAGCCCGTTTTACCAACCCTAGTCATATATATACAAATTAATTGTTAAAATTAACTATAACACTTATTATCTATCCAAAGATACTGTCATTTTTTGTCAACGTTTAAAATATCATTCTCAACATGGTGTTTTTGCCACGTGTTTTCATGAGGGCACCAAGACTGGCTCATTCTGTCGACTAGTAGAATTTGGGCTCAATTTCGGAATCGGTTGCCCCAAAATGATTTGTCCAAAAACTTGTTTACAAGCCAGATAAATAATGCCTGGCCCGTACGTGGTCAGTTATATAAATATGAATGGGAAAACATTTTCTCCTTTTAAAAGGAGAAATTTTTTCTCATGTTAGTGACATATTGTATAAGTGGGTCTCACAAAATAGTGAAAGGAGAAAAAAATTAAGGGTGAGATCCACATATGCTTTGAGTCACTAACATGAGAAAAATTTTCTCCTTTAAAAGGAGAAAATATTTTCCCGATATGAATATTGAATTAGATTACTGTTTATAAAAGCCCCAAAAGTTGTAGCTAGAAATTTAATTTTAAATTTATTGTTTATCTCAGTTTCTTGAAAATTATTAACACTGAGATTCAGGTGAATCTATCATGGTTTTAAAAAATTTGTAATTTTATTAGATATGACACGAAATTACGATCAATAGCGTT